ATTTCTCTGTAAAGTGTTTTTCAAACCACCCTACTTCCCCCTCCAAACCTTTGATTCTTTTATCACCCTACACTGTTTAGGTTTTCTTCGTAGCACTATCATATTTTGTATTCTAGAATGTAATTATTTTATTATTCCACTGCATTGTCTAATTTTTACATTGCATGTGTTTAATAATTTATTAAAATTATAATGAAATAAATTAAAAGTAACTAAAAATGAAATTCTAGTTGCTAAGATAGTAAGGTATTAGTACAGAAATAAGTGAATCATGAGAAGAATGTTAAGGAATATGTGATCATGGAGATTAATGTGGAAAATAAATTTTAAAACTAAAAACAAGGGAAGAATAAATATAAACTCCAGAAAAGTAATTGCTTCAGGGCAGCAGATGGATGTGGAAGGAATCAGAAGATAAAGTTAGTTACCCTTGTAATGAGATTGGTGATATTCTCAGTCTTGAGCTGGCTGGTGCTTTTGCAGGTGATTTGAAATTATTATACATTCTAAAATATTTAAGCTATTTACATTCTTATGTCTATTAAAAACATTAAATACATTTTACATTTTAAAAGATATCAAAGCTAAAAAATATAAAGTAAGAAAATGATGAAAATGAGCATTGGTTACATTTTGTAGATACTCAATCTGAAGAGAAGAAGGAGGGATGTAGTAGGACAGGATAGAACATGTATGCATGTGTGTGTGTGTCTTTAATGGGAGGATCTGGATCCTACATATACATAGGTGGCTACATTCAAAAATTTGACTCAAGAAAATTGCCTCCAGGGAGTATCTAGCAATATCCAGAGATGTTATTTTGATTGTCATGTCTGTGTGGAGGATTGCCATGCTACTGGAATCTCCTGGAAAAAGATCTGGAATTAAGTTAAACATCCTAAAGCACAAATGACATCAAGAATTGTTCAAAATGTCAATAGATATTAACCCTTTGTTAAGAAAACCAGTAACAGAGAAAGCAAAACAGGAGACATTAAAAATAAAATAGCAAACAACTGAAAGAGCAGAGTTCAGGCAAGACAGGAGGAGAACTTGGCTGAAAAGAGGTGCATTACATCTTCAGAGCCTGGAGACCACCAAAGAGCCAAAGCTGTCTTAAGTCCACTCCTTTAAACAGAGATCTGTGAAGCTGACCTCATTCCAGCTCTGCTGTAACTAGAAATAAACACAAAGGACCTATTGAGAGTTTTATTGCTAATCACTCTGGAGAAACAGGCAGGACAAGTATGAAATAAGAACCGTAGGTCGTATGAAGTTACGTCAGAGCTAAGTAAGTGGACGCCTCAGGGTTCTCTCTGGATATGCCCCTACTGTGGGCCTGAGAGGGGCCTTCCCAATGTTGACATTATAAGTTTGAGTCAACTTTATTATTTGAAAAGCCTTCCCCACAAATTGTGTAAGCTCTGGGTCCCACAAAATGAAGATTTATCCTTGAGGGCAGAAGAGATATCCAACTTAATCATTTTTATAGCTGGTTTCCTGAACATTCTTGCTAGATGCACTCTGAAGCTCAATGGCTGCCTACTTCTTGATTTAGTCCCCTAAGAGGCAGTTCATAAAATCTCATTGCTCTCCAGGTCTCCTATTCTTATATAGTTTTCACAGGTCATTTCCTCTATAAAAGCCTGTCTCTGGTATGAAAGGCCTTAGCGTACAATTAGACCAAACAATAAATGAAAATAAGTACATGATTCAATTTCTGCTCTTCTGAAGGGAATTACATTAGAGGAAGCTGCAACCTCTGGATCTTATGGTACCAATAGGAAAGAATGGCTTAAAACAATTGTCAGGAGATTCTGTGTACATGAGGTCACTGAATAAGCTATTTATAATCATGATTCCAGGGACCTTCTCCATGAGATTCCCATGATCCTGGCCCAAAGATGACAATTTAAGAACTATTTCCTTAATGCAAAGATTCATAACATTTTGATATACCAGATCCCTTGGAGGATCTTTTAATATTCACAAGCTAAAAATTTTAATAAAGGAATCAATCTAACCACCTTAGTTATAACTCCTATCTTAGATAATCCTTAGCCAAGAAATCCTTCAGAGAAAGAAAGCAAGAGAGAAAGAGAGACAGAAATAGAGCCAGACAGCCAGAGAGAAAGCAGTACGTGTTGAAGTGGGAAAGATAACACCCAATGAGTGAAAGAATAATCCATAAAAATTTGCCAGAAGGAGATCATGTGAATGTCCACGCATGTACATTAGAGAGTAGACAGAAAGACAGCAACCGACACTCATGTGTTTAAAGTCAAAGAGAACACAGGGAAAATAAAACTAAAGGTGCTAGGAAGAAAAAGGCTTAGGGTGAAATATACTTGCTTCTACTCCATCCTGCAACAACTGAAATGATAGTAAAAAGATAAAAAAGACACAATCCAAAAAGGACAAATAAGACTGGCATGTGCCCGCCAAAGAAATATCAGCAACATTTTAGAAACTGTAAAACATATGGCCAAGTGTTGACTGGCTTTACACAGTTGGAAAGCAGAAATCAAAATGCCAACAAGGTGAAAGGGGCCTGTCAGCATGCCGATTCATGAAAAGTAACTTCAGCAATGTCCAGAAATTAGAAGTCCAGAGAGTTGGGAAAGAGTATAGGTAATAAATTCAGGAGAAACATTTCGATACATGTAAAATGTGCAGAAAGGCCAGACAATAGAGAGAGGAGAAAAGTTTGACTTACAGGAGTTCCAGAAAGAGTCAAAAGGAGAATGGATAGAAAGAAAAATGTCAAAGAACAATGAGCATTTCCTAGAGCTAAGGCCTCAGAGCCCCTAGCAGATAGGCTCACTGTGTCTCAGTACAATGAATAAAAAAAGATCCATGATAAGAGACATATGGGAACGTTTTGCAACAGATAGTAAGAGAGAGATTCTAAATGCATGGGCTCAGAATAGGTGGCAGGAAGGAGGTCACCTACAAAACTTTGAAATTACAAAGCCATCATACTGCTCAATAGCTACGATAAAGCTTGAAAATAATGGACCAATAATTCTCAAAATTCTGAAGCAATTAGATTTCAACCTAGAATTTCATATCCACCTATCAATTACTGGTAAAGTTTGAATAAAATTTTTCAAATACAATAAACTCAAAATTTGACCTTAAATCTTTCTTTAAGACACTAGAAGAGGGTATGCTTTTGCAAAATGTCATATAAAGTTCAAAAGATGAGGTACCCAGAAACTAAGGGCCATGCAGGTGGAAGGGCTAGGGGTTGCCCAGGATAACTATGAAGCTAAGTTGCAGAGGTCAAGAGGATCCATTTCACTGTAATGGAAGAAGTGGAAAGTCCCAATAGAAAGGTTGGTGAAAATTAGTGAAGCTTATATAAAAGTACTTCATAGGCATGCATAAAAACAATAATGAAACATGTAGGAAATAATTTAATGGGGGAGAGGATAATGGAGGGGATGAATTTGATCACAGTACTTTTTATGCGTGGATGGAAATATCACAATGAAACTCCTTTTGTACAATTAATGTATGCTAATTTTGAAAGCTAATAAAATCTCCCCAGATAAAAAAGGAATAAATTTTAATTTCAGGATAAACAAGAAAATTAAGAAATAAAATAACAAAAGAAAAGGAAATAAAGGATAGAAAGAAGAAAGGGAGGGAGGGAGAAAGATGAGAGTAAGTGAGGAAGAAAAGGAGGAAAGTGGCAATGTGACAAACTAAACTTACACTGAGTAGCTCAGTAGTGAATACTACTTTCCTAATTATAATAATATAAGCATTATTTATTTACATTACTTGTGTTTGAACTCAGGCCTTATGCTTCCTAGGAAGAACACAACCACTTGAGCTCAGTCACCAGCACAACATGTAATTATTATTTAACCAAAAATTTCAGTATAACTACATTGGGAAAATGGAGGACAGGTGACTGAAGGGTTGCTGGTGAAGGGTAGTACACAGATATGTGAGCTGTGCTTCTGCAAGAGAAGAAAGTTAACATGCTTACCCTTCTTAAAGTTAGCAGATATTGCTAAAGTCTGAAACAAAAATATAAATAAAGACTAGTTAACAAATATTGGCTTTGTATTTGAGAATGAGGGTGCTGGGATTGAATCCAAAGTCATGTACATGCTAGACATATGCTGGACCACTGAGCTATATCCCCAGTTCTTAACATAAAAAATGTTATATAGAAATAAAGAAACAAGAACCAGAAGAAGAAATAGCAAAACATTTTAAATTATTTCCTCTAGGGAGTAGGAATTGGCAAGGACCAAGGGATGCTGTTTTTTGTTATATTTTCTTTAAAAGACTTTTAAAAACATGGACAACAGCCATTTCATAAACACAAAAATAAATTATAAAAAAAGTGGATATCATGCATACATCTGTACTCACAAAATATTGTGATCTAAATATTTCTGCAAGTTTTATGCAAATCTGTATGTCTAAAAACTTTCACCCAATTGAATTATGTATAAGAGTAGAGTGTAAGAATTATCTTTTTTTTTACAGTTAGCCATTTCAAAAATGTTGTGTGCATCCATATTTTAATATTGTACATTAATTAATCCATTAGGTTTAAGGAGCATTCATTTTAGCAGTATTTCTAAAAGAGACAGTTGTACTGATGTAACATAGCCATATTTCTTCCAGCGTGGAGGTCAGAGCAAGAGACCCAAAGGAACTGCTGATAATTCAGCTTGCTTTAACGTAGGCCCAGGACAGTGGGTGTGGTGACCAGGCCCATTATGCAAGAAGAATGTCAGGTCACCAGGCAGGAGTCTCTGGGGATCCGTACATCAATGGTGTGCTAGAAAGGTTCATATACTATACTTTATAAACTTTTCCCAAGATGATTTCATTTTTAATGACTATTTTATTTTAATAAAGTAATCACTCAAAATTTTAAAGTGGTCAACACAGTGGAAAAAATAGGTCAAGTAACATCTTGCAATCTCCCTCCTTTTCTTTCCCTCTTGAAAAACAGTTTGATGTTTCCATACCTCTTTATATCCATCACTGATTCGTTCCAAGCTGAGGGAATACACAAGGTCCCTGCCTCCCACAAATAGTCGTTCCTGATACTCATCCAGCAGCATTGTATGGAGATCAAGAAATCCAAAAGGACTATGAAATATCGATGTTCTGTTCAGATCCAAGAGTTCTGAAATGCAAAGAGATATGTATAATAAACACAAGAAAAATGTAAATGCCTTTATAACATTCTCATAACTGTATTTTCATCCTCATTGGACCTAAGAGGCTAATGTCCATTTTATCATAAATATAGAGCCTGTGACTTGTATTATACAAAAAGTGGTGAAATATAGTCACTACTCAGTATCTATAGAGGATTTTTTCCAGGCTCCTCCATATCAAAATCTAAGGATGTTCAAGTCCCTTATGTTAAATGGCAAAAATTTTGCCTATAACTCACCTATGCGCATTCTTCCCTGTACTTTAAATCATTTCTAGATTATTTATACTACCCAATTCAATGTAAATGCTATGTAAATCATCATTATACTGTATTTTTCTGGGAATAAAGATACAAAAAGTCTTTATATTCAATACAGACAAAATTATTAAAGGTAAAATTTGAAATATTGATTCATTTGACTATTCACCTAAGAAAAGACTATGAGAACAAGCTTTATTTGAAGGGAAAAAAAGGAATTAAAGAGATTAGAAGTTCTTAAATTCTGAAAGAAAAGAAAATCCTATTTAATAATTTTGTCAAGGTGAAAATCACTGTTGTCCTTATTGGGCATTCACAAATAAGAGAAAGTATTTTACTGCGTTTGACAGTTCAGTACTAAAATTTGGGTAAAATAATCCATGAGAGCCTTTGTTCTCATTTTGGGATCCAATATCATAACACTCCACTACTTGAGGCATTCCCACAGCCCCTTTTGGTTCTTAGTTGTTTTTCAGGTATATTCTCAAGCTTTTGCCCAGGCCAGCTACAGATTGCTGCCCTCTTGCCTATAGCCTCCTGAGTAGTTGGGATGAAAGATGCCCACTACCATGCCAAACTTGTTGGCCGAGATAAGATCTCAGTAACTTTTTGCCTAGGTTATCCTCAAGTCAAAATACTCCAGGTCTCCATCACATGAGGAGCTGGGATTACAGATGTGAGTCAAATTTCCGAGTGTTTTTACATAATGAAGTCATTACCTTATGAGTACAACTCATTAATCAAAGCCTGGTCACACATTAGCTACACTTAACAGGTTTCTAAACTAGAGAGTTGCCAAAAACGCTAAGGTGCAAAAATTAGAAGTGTGAAAGGTTACAAAGGTGTGAAAGGATTCAGATATGAAGACCCTACCTTAAAACATTCCCAAAGTGGAGTAAATGATGTCAATACTATAAAAAAATGTTTACACTGGAAAGAGGCAGACCAACACATAAAGAACTATTCCATGAGTTAATTCCATCTAGAGAAGACCTTGCTGACTTCCTGATGAGGTCAATACTGCCTACCTACATAATGCAAGTTAGATACTAACTTCTACTTGTTTTTATGAATTGTCAATTTCTATTAAGCTTATTATAATCCTGACAGTTTAAAGGTGATGTTTCTTACTTCTTTGTCAACTATAGTAAAACTATTTACTGAATCATCTATCTTATTTTATTCTGATAGATTAATTTCTCTTCCAACCTGTTCTTCCTTCCTGGCCATGTCTATCCAGGGATACAAAAATGCATACATGATCCTCTGAATACTTAGTTTAGAAACAGCAAAGGGAAAATCTGAAGTATGACAGATTATGCAAATTTTGTAAATGTTCCTTTTTAGTAACCTTTACTGTAAAACAAAAAAACCAGAAATCTACTGCTGTAAAACTATTTAAATTTAGTATGGTCTTTTATTTTAATGATGCAAAAACTCAGGTGCCCAGAAATTTATCCATCATCTTAAAGGCATATACTTTTATAATGAGAAATCACACAAATTAGTTACTAAAACATGAGAATTAAAATACAACAGGTGTGTATATCATAACCAAAGTCTTATAGTAATCTGGAGAGACAAGTTCTAGTCTTTACTTTGATCCTAATTGCCAACATAACCTTGAAGAGTCTCTTTATCTCTTTAGCATAGATTTCACATGTTAATCCCCCTTGGACCTTTAAAATTCTTAAATCTTTGACTGACAAGCATTTTTAAGATACACTGATAGAACAGTATAAAAATAAGCACACTCAACATGCAGATGATTCTGTAGATGTCTAAGTACAGAACCGAGACTATAATTTTAGAGGACTAACAATGGGAGAGAACAAGCAATGACCAAGTTGAACTATCTCATCTTCTATATTTAAGCTTACCTAAAGAAAGGTATCTTAAGATTGATTTACAATTTTTCATACATCTAAATGATTGTAGGATCAGCTAATCATTTTGTTGTAGCTGTTGTTGTTATAAGGAATTCTGGAGATTGTTTAGCTTGACTAATTAATATTACCTTAGAGAAAATTGCTACCAAAATATATTAAAATACATAAAGCTGAACATCATCACATGCCTTGGGCAATAAGTCAAGAAATTACATTTCATTTATGAAGATATTTCCTAGAATAATTCCTAAAGTCATTTTCAAGAAACCCCAAGGAATAGGGTATAATTTCCTTTAAACTTTTTGACAGTTTGAGAAAAGTTACATGTATTGAATGGTTCAGCTGCTCTAGAATCTGATCAACACCATGCAAAAGACCAGTGCCAACAGTTGAATTCCTAAGAAGTTGAGCTTGTGAATCGATATACTATTTCAGAATCAGCATTAAACAAAGCATATTAGTGCAATGGTTTATATTTTCTCATTCGCTTTTACAGGCATAATCCCTGATCTTGATCTTCAATTTTCTCTAAGACCTAATCTGTTTTTAACAGACTGTAACTCTCTCACATCTTTGACTTTGAATCATTATAGGTATCTAGGCTTTAAATAGATATCTGAAATAACAAACAGTGCCATTCCATGATAAAAGCTTTATTTAAAAATATTTTGTGTATTTGTTATATACTTTTATTATTTATTCAGTATTAATGCCATCCTTGTATTTTATTTATTCAATTATTTAACTTGCTTATTTTCAAAAGGAATCTGAGATTATTTGTACAAATAGATTTAATCAAATAAACATTTTTCTAGGGAGCTAGAGAGTAAGATGAGAAGGCTGTAATAAAGTTGTTTAAGTCATTCTTTTGTCTGACGCACTATTAAAACAAAACCCTAAATTCAGACTTCCTAAAGGTCAAAGTAAAAGTCAGTATAATATAAATAACAAAACAATAAAAACTGTATCATTTTGGTTAGGAGCATTATGTAGTATTAAGTACTAAGAGAAATTTCTCCTGAGGTTATCTTAAGCCGAAGGCTAAAAAATACCGTGTGAACATTCACTATCACTAAAAAATAAGGTGTCATGTTCCATATCTCTGCTTATAATTACAATACTTAATAAAAAGTCAACTGAACTCCTACCAAAATACAGTCTACCAAAAATGACTTTATGGTCATACAAGGCCATGTTAGTCAGGACATTGATGATCGCAAGAACAGAGTTAAATCAGGGTAATGCAAATCTAAGGACAGAAAGCTAGGCCTCAGGATAATTAGAAAACTACAGTAAAAGTAATTGCTCTCCTGAGAGGTACTCCATTTTTGCTTCTTGTTTGTCTTAATGTCACTGCTTCATTGTACTGATTTTGAGGGGCTTCCTCATTAGTTTGTTCATGGCCAAATATTTCTTTTGGCCCCCAGTTGTGTGCTACCTTCCAGCTCTCACCCACCACTATATGACATTAGTTCCACACTTCTCAGTTATCAAAGAAAAGACTAAAAGAAGCTGAGCAGTGTTTGCAATTCATTGATTGTTGGCTTCCTCTAGATTTGCTGCTTAGTGATTAATTACTCATTGGTAGTTAAGTGTGGAAGTCATGTGTTGAATAATGTGGTCTCTATAATTATATAGAGTCAGAGCAATCACCATGAAGGATATGTTTCAATTCCACAGGCAAACTATCCAGTCTGTTTTTATTTGTTAGTTAAACAGTAACAAATTTGCTATAATTTTAATTCTATAGCCTGAATAAATTGAATCTGCTATTTGTTGATATTCAATATATTCATATTACATGATAGAAAGTATATGCCAAGAAAGGTATTTGGATTTTTCACTAATTAATCAAAGCTATCTTCTCTAATAATAACTGAATTGTCAAAGTCATTCACACTACTTGATCCATATGCAATTTTTAGGTATTGAAGTATGCTTTATTTGTAAAAAAGAGCATTCTAAATATAAAAATCAATCAGTAAGATAAAAAGAGTAAAGTTTAGTAACTCATGGAATTCACAATTCTAAAAAAGAAGCAGAGATGTAATTATTGAGTAAACATCTAAAGAAATTATTTACATAAAGCGTACATAAGAAAACAAACTATAGCTTTTTTAATATGTTGAAAGAGATATTCCTAAAGAAAGAAGACCATCACTTGTGTTCTATAAATAGCATAACATAAAAGAAGACACAAAGTAATGAATTACTGTGAAAAGAGTTCAACTTCAGCTGATAATAGGGTTCAAGTGGCACAGCACCTATCTAGCAAGCAAAGGCCCTGAGTTCAAACCCCTACCAACAAAAAAAAAAATTAAACTTCATTAATTCTTCCAAGAAATTAGCATAAAATATCAATCTCAATACCTGATGAAGATGAGATTCAGAATATTGAAGCAGGACTCATCTAGAAGTTAATGATAGCATTTTTTTCCTCCAGTGAACATGAATTCCTTTATTAACAAAATTATAACATAAGTTAAAGGGGAGGGGTAGGAAATGCTTCCATTAATGTAACAGAATTTCCTCATATGTCTGGATCCTGTTCCTCCTGCCCTGATCTCAAACAGTAATTAATGTACATTGAGCACTTCTGTATCACATACCACCTAAGGGCTAGTCACTTATGATCTCATTTAGTCACTGTGCCACCCCTTGGAAATACTATAATCCCTAATTTCTACATTCAAAAATAGAAAATTGTGGAGACTCAGTGCATAGTTAAGGCTATTTGGTCAGTGTTAGTTCCAAAACTAAAGTTCATGTGAGCTGGAATGTCTATCATTACTGTGAACTCACATAGTCCTCACTTCC